ATAAATGTTTTACCTTTGTGTATGCCTGCACACTATATGTGTGTTGTGCCCTGAGAGGCCAGAAGAAGACACTGAATCCTCTGGAACTGGAATTGCAGGCAGTTATGAACTACCAAGTGAGTGCTAGGAACTAAACCTGTGTTCTCTGCAAGAGCAACCAGTGCTCTTAACCACGGAGCCACCTCTCTCTGTTAAATGAATAAGCAAGGCTCAGGATCCTGCAGTAAGGGGAAAGTTTCCTGGTTTGTTTTTTGTGATTCCTGGAGATCAGTTTAATTTCAGAATGTGAACTAAAGAGGACCGCTCTGATATGATTATATATACACACCTGTGATCCCAGCAGTGAGGTGGCTGAGGCAGGGGGATTGCTTGGAGTTCCAGCACAGCCTGAACTCTCATAGTGACTTTCAGGCTGGCTTGGGTTGCAGAGGGAGACTCTGTCTCAAAAACAATAACAAATATTTTATGTATATGAGTGGATTTGGGGTTTTTTTGTTTGTTTTGGGGGGGTTGGTTTTTTGTCTGCATATGTGTATGTGCACTGTGCATGTGCCTGGTGCCTACAGAGACCAGAAGAGGGCACCAGACCCTCAGGAATTGGACCCAAGGACAGTTGTGAGCCACCCACGTGTGTGTGTTGGGAACTGAGCCTGGATTCTTTTCAAGAGCAGCCAATGCTCTTAACTGCTGAGCCATCTCTCCAGGACCCTGCTTTACTTATTTATTTCTATTCTGGGGATGGAATTCAGGATCGTCTGTCTGCTAGGTAAACGTTCTAGCCGTGAGCCGCACACTGGTGGATTCAAGGCATGTGCTGCACTGCTGAGCCACACCCTCGCCTTCTTTAGGAGGCAAGTTGCCCCAGTAGTTGCCCAGCCTGGCTTTGAACTTGTGATCCTCCTCTCTCGGCCTCCCAGAGAGCTGGAATTACAGATGGGGCCATCGGGCTAGCTTCGAAGTTGTTTCTGACTAATAATCTTCAGGGCAGAGCTAGCCAAACCTTCCGGCATTTAGAGATCCTGGAAGCAGACAGAAACCAGGTTAGGTGGCCTCCCTGTGTCCCTGTTTCCCCACCTAAAGGGCACCAAAAAAGCTGGCTAGCCCTGCACACCTCAAGTCTTAACATTGTAGGACTAGACTGAGGATGGTGTGGTAGCTGAACCTCAGAGGGAGAGAGGAGAGCTGACACACCGGCCAAAAGCAGGAGCGTGGAGGGGCGTGGGTAAGCAGCTTGTAGACCCTGAGGCCTCCAGTGAGCTACTCAGAGATCCAGGATAGCTACAAGGAGAGATCCCAGTCACAGGCTGGAGGGGAGAGAGCCTCTCATCTGCCCAGCCCACTGCCATTGAGCAATGACAGGGACAGGTGTTAGAAGCAGGGTGGTGAGGAAGAGGTCAAGGATAGCCTGGGAAGGCCCCTGAGGGGGTGGATGGGATTTTTCAGGGCAGCTGGTTGAAGTGGCCAGCTATTCAGATGTCTCCAGCTGTAGACATGTAAAAGCTGGCCAGCAATCAGGCTGTCCACTCATCCAGACAATGCATTGCACATGGTGCCCTGGCTGGTCCGTGAGATGCACAGCTGCAGTCAACCTCCCTGAGGTAAGGACCTAGGACCTGTGTTTCTTGCTTGTTCCCAGGGGCTGGCACCTGATGCCATGCTTCAAGGAAAGCACTAAGGAAAGAAAGCTGCATGCCAGCCAAGCCAGCTATCGTAGTGCATGTCTGTCATTCCAGTCTTGAGGAAACTGAGGCAGGAGCACCTCCAGTTTGAGATGAGCTTGTGCTATATAATGAAACAAAGGGAAACGCCAGCCCTTACGCTTTCATTTTAATAAGGAGAGGCGGACAGCACACTTTATAAGCAAAGTGTTTAGTACCGTGGATAGTGACAGACAGGAAGGAGAAAAGCCAGTGAGGATTGAGTTTGTGTTCTGTTGGGCAGAAGCTGTGGACTTGGATCAAAGGCTTCCCAGAGGTGACTTCTGAGCCAGTCCTGAAGGAGGTAAGGGGTGACAGGGAATAGTGAGTGTGGTGACCTGGAGGACTGAGTGATACCATCCGTGCCCAGTGAGTGTGAGCAGTCTGAGGGCAGAGACTGCTGCCTACTTTGTTTGCCTGAGTTTCCTTCCTAGTCTTTGACACAACAGGAAAATAAGACACGGATGGGCTGGGCTCGAGAGGCAGCTCAACATTAAGAGCACTTGTTCTTGCAGAGGACCTGAGTTTGGTTTGCAGCACCCATGTCAGGTGGTCCATAGCCGTCTGTAACTCTAGCTCCAGGAGATCTGACACCCTCTTTTGACCTCCTTGGGCACCCTTACCTGTGCACATACCCATATACAGACACACATACGCAGATTTTAAAATAGGTCTTAGATCCATTTTAAAAAGAAAAAGAGTGGGGGCTGAGAGATGGCTCAGTGGTTAAGAGCATTGCCTGCTCTTCCAAAGGTCCTGAGTTCAATTCCCAGCAACCACATGGTGGCTCACAACCATCTGTAATGAGGTCTGGTGCCCTCTTCTGGCCTGCAGACATACACACAGATAGAATATTGTATATATAATAAATAAATAAATATTTTTAAAAAAAGAAAGAAAAAGAACGAACACAGTGTGGGGAGATGGCTTAGCGGGCAAAGTGCCTGCTCTGCAAGCCTGAGGACCTGGGTTCAGATCCCCAGCACCTACCTAAGAAGCCAGACACAGCTATGTGCATCAGTAACCACAATACTGGAAAGATGGCAGGCAGAGACATTTTTACTCGAGTCTCATTGTCAGCCTAATAAAGCTACTACTGAGCTTGGGTTTCAGTGAGAGATCTTGCCTCAAAAACCATGTGCAGCCCATGGTGATGGTGGCGCATGCCTTTAATCCCAGCAGTTGAGAAGCAGGAGAATCTCTGAGTTCGAGGACAGCCGGTCTACACAGAGAAACCTAGTTTCGGGGTGGGGGAAAAGACATATGCTGAGTGATCAAGACACCTGGTGTTGATCTCTGTCCACCACACACACTCATGTGCATTTCCAAGCACACTTACACACTACCACACAAACACATTCATATGCCATATACAGACCCCAAATAAAGACATAAAAATGAGACACACTGGTTGTGCAGCACGCTTGGGCTTCCAGTGCTCAAGAGGCTGAGGCCAGGCTGACTACAGAGTGAGACCCTAGAGAGAGATGAGGGGAATGAATGAGTTCGTTTTAAGTGCTGTGCCACTAATTGCATAAAGTGGATGTCTTTCCCCTTCCCTCTGAGCTATTTCTGGTGAGCCCAGTGTCATCTCTGTATCCTATACATCCAGGACCAGCCTGCAGGAGGACCTCTGTGCATGTCAAGGGCAAGGTTTTGCAGACAACTCTGTGTATCAGGGTATGGGAATGTGAATTCTCTAATTATTGGGGGGCACTTAATAAGGGTGCAGAGTGTGTGGCTGTCCTATCAGCTTCACTTTCTCAGGCAATCTCCTGTGACAGGCATGTTTGTGGTTTCCATTAAAATTGTGGATTATAGGGTTGGAGAAATGGTTTGGCTGCTCTTCCAGAGGACCTAAGTTCCCAACATATCAGGTGGCTCACAGTGCCTGTAACTCCAGCGCCCTCAACTGGACTATGGATGCCTGCACTCAGATGCACATACACAATCACACACACTTTAAAAGTAGTAAAAAATAAATCCTTAAAGTTGGAGATTTGTGAAGCTCGTGGCTCTTGTAAAAAAAAAAAAAGCCATAATGTCCTTACCCGCTGAACATCTCTCCAGCCACTTGCACTGCCCTGAAAGCCACCTTTGGGTTTGTCTTGAATCAGCCCAGCATAGGCCAGAAACAACGCAAGGTATCTGTAATTTTTTTTTTGCGGGGGGGGGGGGGGGTTCAAGACGGTTTCTCTGTGGTTTTGGAGCCTGTCCTGGAACTAGCTCTTGTAGACCAGGCTGGTCTCGAACTCACAGAGATCCACCTGCCTCTGCCTCCCGAGTGCTGGGACTAAAGGCCTGTGTCACCACCACCCGGCTAAGGTATCTGTAATTTTAAGATAACTTAAAATTCATTATTGTGTGACTTCCTGTTGTTTTCCTGTAGTGAGTGTAGAGGTTTGAAGAGCCTTATAGGAGACTGGACAGGTTCCCAAGCCTTAGCCTTGATTGTCAAGTCAGTGACTATGGGGACCAGTGACCAGTACAGGGTTAGCCTTTGTTCTTTGATTTTGAATTTGGCTTTTGAAACAAGGTCTGGTGTGTATGTGTGTGTGTGTGGGGGGGGGGGGGGCTGAACTCCTGGTCCCCCTAGCTTTATTTCCTAAATGCTGGCTTTCCCCCACCCTTTTTAATACGCATGTGTTTTGCCTGCATGCATATCTGTGGACTGCATGCATGCATAGCCCGCAGCGGTCAAAAGAGGATGCCACGTCTGGAACTGGACTTAGAGGCTGCCCTGCGGGTGCTGGAACCAAACCCAAGCCCTCTGCAACAGCAGCCAGTGCTCTTAACCGCTGAGCTGTCCCTCCAGCCCCTCCTTTGTCTGTTTGTGGATTTGAGGGAAATTTGTCGTTGCTGTTGTTTTGCTTATTCTTCCGTTTTTGTATGATTTTATTTTTATTTTACGACAGTGTGACACTATATAGCCCAGGATGGCTTAAAAAACTTCCTGCCTCAGCCTCCCAGACTTTGGAACTACAGAGGTGTGGTGTGTCACGCCCGACTTGCCTGTTTGTTTTAAAGACTAGATGACTAAGGCTCCGGTGTCCCACCGAGAAACCCTTCCATCACCACAACTGTTAATCAAAGCCAGGTTCTCGGACCTTTCTCCCCTACACTTCTTTCTGCCCGTCCCCGGCTGCGTGGCCCTTTAAATCTCTAGCGTCCATCAGGGCTCCTGTTTCAAGGGAATGTTGGATAGTTCTCGCCTTGAGTGTGGCGGTCTGTCCCCGCCGCCGGGCTCTCCATCTGGCAGTCCTGAACTGTGGGAATTTGTCCCCACTCCCTTACTTCGGGCTGTTTCCATCCTGCCCGCCCCATCCTGCCCTCCTCCCCGTCACCTCACGCCTACTCCTCCTGTTTTCCAAGTCGAGGCCCCTTCGCCAGTGCCTTCCTTATATGGGCACGGCTCTGAACCGTGGCCGCTCATTGGCTGGGGTCGTCACGCGCGCGTCTGTCAACAAAGGGGCGGGGCGGGGCGCGCCGCGCGCCAGCCCGCGCGAGGGGGTGGGCCCGCGGGGCTCTGGTGCGCATGCTTGTGGGCAGCCATTCTCCCTGCCGCCTGGAGGAGGCGCTGCGGTAAGCGCGCCGAGGGGGGGGCGTGTCCGGGGGGGGGGGGGTTGGGGAGATCGCCTGAGGGGGTCGGAGGATTCCGTCGAGGAGGAGGCGGGTCCAAAACTTGGGGGCACCTTTTTGCATTGAAGCGTTTAATTGAGCGCTTGGGGAAGTTGAGGGGATGGAGGGGATACTTTAGGGGTCCCGGGAGCTAAAGAAACACCTTGGGCTGGGGTTATTTTGTAACGTCGTAGGCTTGGTTGTTTTAGAGGTGTCCTTTGGGGTTCGGGGGCCAGAATGCCTGGGCTTGAGTCCTTCCTCTCCGTGTGAACTAGGACAGGAGGGCACTTTCCTTTCTGTGGCCTGTTGGCAAGCGGGAGCTGCGGAGACTGCGCGCTCCCGGGATCCGCAGAGCAACGATGTCGGAGCAGTGCCTAGGAGCCTGCTGGAGCGTGCGGGACACCCGGCTGCTGTTGTACCACTCGGTTTCATTAGGGACTGCTGACATTTATTTGATTTGGGGTTCGTTTTAAATAGGGTATTTTTATGTCTGAGTTCTTTCAAGGATCGGGAGCTCTTGGGGAATGAAGGGGTAGAATAAGGATCGGTGTCGGGTATGAGCGGAGGATGTCAGGAGACCCGAATCACCTGTGAGATTCGGGTATTGCTGTGTGTCTTCGGATGTCTGAAAAGTTATTTGTGATTTGGCTTCTCTGTGCTGGAGGGCGTTTTGATTTATTATTTTGGTTTTTTTTAAGTTTTATATGTATTGTATTGCCGGTGTGTGTATCTGTGTCCCACATGTGTCTGTTGCCGGCGGATCCTCTGGAACAGGAGTTACAGAGAGCCACTCTGTGGGTGCTGGGAACCACACTTGGGTTATCTGCAAGAACAGCAAGTGCTTTTAACTGCTGAGCCATCTCTTCAACTCTCATTCTTATTTATTTATGGGCCAGGGTCTCTACGTAGCCCTGGCTAGCCTAGGACTAGATACGTAGATCAGGATGGTTTTGAACTCAGAGATCCACAAGCTTTTACTTCCCGAGTACTGGGATTAAAGGCCGGCACCTTGCACCACTTAGATTTGGGGGTGGGAGGAACAGGATTTTTTTTATATAATATTGCAAACCCAGAATCCTTATCCTCCTGTCTTATGCCCCAGCCTCCCAAGTGCTGGGATTACAGACATGTGCCACCAGACTTGGTAAGGTCTTGAGGAGAGGGTTGAAATTTTAAAATAAAATTTGAAAAAGTTAGAATACTTGGGGATAGGACATGAAGATTCTGGAAATGAGGGTGGGGTTGGGTAAGGAGTCTTAAGGTTGGGGTTCTCTTACTGGTGACAGTATTTGGAGCCGAGTTTTGAATGGCATCTGCAGGTCCCTAATATAATAGTGTGTCAGATTTGCCTAGATTAAGAGCGGGCAGTCCATCCTACAGCATCAGCTAATTTATTCTTTTCTTTTTTGGGGGGGGGTGGGATTATATTTTTTTAATGTATACAGTGTTCTGCACTACATGTATGCCTGCGTGCCCTAAGAGGGAACCAGATCTCATTATAGATGGTTGTGAGCCACCATGTGGTTGCTGGGAATTGAACTCAGGACCTCTGGAAGAACAACCAGTACTCTTAACCTCTGAGCCATCTCTCCAGCCCAGCTTTTTCTATAAAAGACCAGGTAATGAATTATTTCAGGCCATACAATCATTGATGCAGTTCTGCTCTTGTAGAATGAAAGCAGCCATCATTTGTTTCCATAGAATTTAGTTTACAAAGATAGGCAGTGGGCTGGGATTAATTCTTGGCTTGTAATTTGCTTACCTTTCTGTTTCATTGGCATGTTCAAGTTTAGTTTGTAAAGGGTTATTTTTTTCCTTTTGTTTATTTGTTTCTTTTTTGGACAAGGTCTGTCTTCGTAGCCCAGACGGGCCTGGAATTCTCTATCTTGTTGCCTCAGCCTCCCCAGATCTGGGATCATAGGCACTCATCACCTCCCTAGATCTGGGATCTTAGGTGTTCATCACCTCCCCAGATCTGGGATCATAGGCACTCATCACCTCCCTAGATCTGGGATCTTAGGTGTTCATCACCTCCCCAGATCTGGGATTATAGGCACTCAACACCATGCCCTGGTGGAGGGTTGTTTTCATGTTGACATGTCTGGAAGGAGATGGGCCAAAGATGCAGGAGACTAAGCGTCTGCTATTTACTGGTAAGTAGAAAGTGGAACAGAAAATGCTGCCATCAGACTCATTAACAAAACTCCCTCCAGATTAGCTGATGTGTGCAAAGTCTTGCAGAACAAAAGTAAAAATCATTATTAAGGGTGCTCTCAGCAGATGCTGCAGCCCAGGCCTGTGATCCCAGAACCTGGGATGCTAGGAGCCTGACAGCTGGGGCTAAAGAGTGAGATCCTGTCTCAAAGAATAATCTCAAAAAAGATGAGTATAGTGCCTGCCTCACACTTGTATTCCCAGAATGAAACAGGAAGATTGAATTGCTGAGTTTAAGACAAGCCTGGGCTATAGTGAGACCAAGTCTCAAAAAGAAAAAAAAAAGAACCGTCGTCATACTTAAGAACCTTATGACCCAAAACAAGTGGAGAGTAAATTTCTTAAGGGTTTGTCTGGTTCTGGCTTCAGATTTTCCTCCCTTGACTAATCACCTTACCCCTCTGTGTGTACTCTGGCTTCTGTGGACAAGGCTGGGAATGTCTGCCTTTTCTGGAACTGGCCACTAGAGGTACAAGTGTAAGGAGAAGCTTGGTTGGTCTGCCTGTGATGTGGGAGTGTCATATATCAATCTGTTGATTTCATTGGTTAAGCAATAAAGAAACTGCTTGGCCCTCATAGGTTAAAACATAGGTGGGTGGAGTAAACAGAACAGAAGGCTGGGAGAAAGAAGCTGAGTCAAGGAGTTGCCATGATTCTCCCACTCCAGGCAGACACAGGTTATCATTCCTGGTAAGCCAGCTCTTGGGCTACATAGATTATTAGAAATGGGCTAGTCCAGGTGCGAGAGTTAGCCAAGAAAAGGCTAGATATAATGGGCCAAGCGGTGTTTAAAAGAATACAGTTTCCGTGTAATTATTTCGGGGCATAAGCTAAGCTAGCCATGTGGGCGGCCGGGTGCCAGGGACGCAGCCCCGCCGCTCCTATTTCAACAGAGTGGCACCCAGACGTGATGGACTAAATAAACCCACTTAAAAACCTGAGAAGGCTTAAAAATAAGGGAGAGAGAATTTCACACAGATTTTGCTGTTTGTTGGTGGCGTGCTGTAGAGAGATTTCCTGATTCGGCAACAGCAGCAGAAAAAAAGCTGCGTCATTTTAAAGTGCGGCTTCTTGGGACTGTGCCGCCAATGCAAACTCTGGCTTTAAAGCATTTCAATGGATTTTATGGGACTGGATGTTTGTGTTCCCGCTTGGGATCGGAAGGAGAGTGCTCTCAGCGCTCCCCGCCTGCACCTGGGCAGAATCAGGCTTAGGCAGGCGGAAGAGCATGGCGGAAGAGACATGTTTTCAGACTGCGCAGTGCTCTGCGTGTCAGATTTGGTTGTAACTTGGATAAAAAGAGTTTCTATGCTGCACGCTCAATCTCAAAATTAAACTGCTGAGTGTGGCTCCAATGTGGACTTGCTGTGTGCCTGGAACTGTGCTCAGCTCAGGGGCACCAATGGATCTGAGGCAGGAGCTGCTGCTCCATGCTGAACTATGCTGACCTCAGGCAGGAACTGCCGTAATTACCATAATAACAGCGCAGTTAAGGTTTAGACTTGGCAGTAAACAGGCAGTACCGTATTACCCCTACATGGTGCAACTTAAGTTTTTAAGAAATGCTTAACATTTTAAGAAATGCTCCTGGATAATAAAAAAATGTTACAGATTCACAATAAAACAGATTCAGACATAAAAGACCACACTGTTGGATGAATGTATGTAGGCTTGAGAGAGAGAAGAAAAAGAATATAGAGAATAAAATTAATGGTTTAAAAAAAAAAGGGTAAAGTCTTTAAAGAGACAGAGTACATATAGTTGTAGATTAAAAGAAATAAAGAAAAATAAGCCACGTAAAAATGGAAAATTCACAGAGAGTCTGGATTATGTACATTGTGTTTTCTTTAAAATTTTTTACTGTGAAGGAGCTAAGTACAGAGAGACATTTCATTACATGGGCTGCCAAGCTAAACAAGAATGGATATAAGGATATTACGATTTCAAAATTTGGGTCTAAGGATATGATGCTTTGGAGAGGGTCTTCTTTTGTTTTCACAGAGGACCAGACCCTGTGGATTGCATCTATCCCGATATGGTATGATAGACCACACCCTCCTGAAAGGTTGCTGTAACACCCTCAAAAAATTACTTCGCTCAACTGCCAACTGAGATAAACCTGGCACACAGGTTACACCCTAAATGATCTGATTAACAGCGCCCCCATTCAGCAGGAAGCAGTTTGGAGAGAAAAAACTGCGCCCATGTTCCCAAAATATTGTTAATAAATGTTCTTTTACATTTAAAGGGGGAAATGATATAGGTATGAATAATTTGCATTGGTGTGGATTTTAAGGTCAATTTTGTTATATGTATATGTATTTCTGATCTTCAATAAGGTGTTATGATTGTGTAGTTCATTTTTAAAATGTAATATATAATTAGGAAATATAGGTTGTTGATGGATAGTCATAAATAATAGTCAAGTTTGTAGTCATGTTACTTAGATTTTCTAGATATATAGAGATATATTTCAGTTAGATAGACATTCTTCATATCTTTCAAAGACTGCAGAATATGGCATTTTAAATGTTTTAATAACTTAGGACTTTTCATGACAATGAGACACTCTGCTCCTGGCAGCACCAATCTACTTAAAGAGGAAGATGGGCATCGAAGAGGATCCTTATGGAGTTTGATAGCCATTTGGGCAAGAAACTGCTTTTGCCTGGACTGATGCATGAACTGGACACAAAGAACCCGCAGAGAGAGGACTGCTGAACTTGCCTAAAGGTGAGATGGTCTTTCGGGGTTCCTGACTCATGAAAGAGTCTGCGAGACATTCTGCAGGATACAGCAGAAAGTGACTGAACTGTCTTTGGAATTTCCTGCTTGATGAAAATGTCTGCTGGATACTATGGGCCTTAAGGCTGAAGATGGATGCCCCAACGGTACAAAAGAACTTTGGGTGACTGTCCAGGCAGCGAGATGTCTCTGTCATTTCTAGAGTTTTCTTATTTCTTGTTTACTTAGGTAATATTATATCCTTCTGGAGTCTTTGATGGAGTTGAAGAATGAATAGATAGTTATAGTTTTCCTTAGTTATGATAAAAGATAAAATAGATATAAATATTGTAACTGTAATTCTTGCTTGATAACTATTTTGTCATATGTAATTTTGCTATGTTAAAGTTAAAGCCTTTTTTTGTTTAAACAGAAAAAGGGGAAGTGATGTGGGAGTGTCATATATCAATCTGTTGATTTCATTGGTTAAGCAATAAAGAAACTGCTTGGCCCTCATAGGTTAAAACATAGGTGGGTGGAGTAAACAGAACAGAAGGCTGGGAGAAAGAAGCTGAGTCAGGGAGTTGCCATGATTCTCCCACTCCAGGCAGACACAGGTTATCATTCCTGGTAAGCCAGCTCTTGGGCTACATAGATTATTAGAAATGGGCTAGTCCAGGTGCGAGAGTTAGCCAAGAAAAGGCTAGATATAATGGGCCAAGCGGTGTTTAAAAGAATACAGTTTCCGTGTAATTATTTTGGGGCATAAGCTAAGCTAGCCATGTGGGCGGCCGGGTGCCAGGGACGCAGCCCCGCCGCTCCTATTTCAACATGCCTGGTACTTTCACTGAAGGTTAAGGCCAGGCCAATCATGCCTTTAATCTCAGCATTTGGGAGGCAAAGGCAGGTGGATCTCTTGAGTTCCAAGCCAGCCTGGTCTACAGAGTGACTTTCAGGACACCAAGGCTACAAAGAGAAACGCTGTCTCAAAAAAAACTAATGAATATATAAAGGTTTGGCTGCATCCCTCTGCTTACCTGATTCGTGACTGGGCTAGAATTTTATTTTCTTGGCCATGCTAGGAACAAAATCCAGACTGGTAGAGAGGCTGCCTCAAGCCATAGCCCTAACCCTCACTAGGTAAAGTCAGGCAAGTGCTGTTGCTGTACCGTGAACCATGCTCCTAGCCCTTTACTGGGGGATTCCAGGCAGTGGCTCTTACCAGCCATGCCTCTAGCCAAAGAAGAGGTTTTGAAAGTATGTGTGTGTGTGACTGTCTGTCCGTTTAAGATGGGACTCATGTAGCCCAGGATGGCCTTCCACTCCTCACCTTACTCCTCCCTTGCTGGGATTCAGCTTGCACACTTTACTGTGTGAGACATCCAGTTCTCAGTGCTCTACTTTGATTTGTTCCTTGTGCAGAAGTTAAGATTGGGTAGTCTTGGGAAGAAAGGCAGTAACCTCAGTGCTCTGTTGTCGGTCAGTGCTCTGTTGTCGGTTATTTTTATACTTTTTACTCTTGGGGGCCTGCCGCCCAGCTCCAGACAAATACATAGAGGCTTATTCTTACTTACGAATGCCCAGCTTTAGCTTGACTTGTTTCTAGCCAGCTTTTTTAACTTGAATTATCCCATTTACCTTTTGCCTCTGGGCTTTTACCTCTCTATTTCTGTGTATCTTTTTGTTGTTGTTTTTGTTTTTTGAGACAGGGTTTCTCGGTAGCTTGGAGCCTGTCCTGGAACTAGCTCTTGTAGACCAGGCTGGCCTCGAACTCACAGAGATCTGCCTGCCTTGGCCTCCTGAGGACTGGGATTAAAGGCGTGCGACACCACCGCCCAGCCCCTGTGTACCTTTCTTTATCTTACTCTGTGACTTGCTGTGTGTTGGTGGGTGGCTGACCCCTGGAGTCCTCTTCTTGTTCTTCTCTTACTACCTGATCTTTTTTTCTTTCCAAGATTTCTCCTATTTATTCTCTCTGTCCACCAGCCCCACCTGTCTTTCTCCTGCCTTGCTCTTTACTAGACCAATATTCCACAACAATGTCTCAACCTTCTATGTCTCCAGGTGGCATGTGGAGCTCCCTACTACCAATGTCCTGAGATTGAGTGACTACCTGCTATTTGCCATCATCTCCCAGCATGGACAGGGGCAGCCTCCTGCCCTTCCAGCTCTGGTGCCCCCGGCCCTTCGGCACATATTCCCAAAACCAGCCACGCCCACCTTCCACAGCCCTCAAGCCACCAGCCTGCTCTGACACAAGCAATGGAACTGAGCCTGACCACGGACCTGCACACTCAGAGAACACACCACCTACCTTGGCTGCAGAAGCCCCCACCTCCCAGCATGCTCCACTTCTCTCTTCAACAGCTGCTGGCGATGAGGGTCGAGTCCTGCTGGACACGTGGTATGTAATCAAGCCTGGAAACACAAAGGAAAAGGTGGCCTTCTTTGTGGCCCACCAGTGTGGTGGAGGTAGCCGGGCTAGCTCTATGAAGGTCAAAGGGTACTGGGGCAGTGATAGTTCCAAAGCCAAGAGGAGGAGGCGCTGCCTTGAGCCCACCAAGGCTCCTCCAGACCCAGGGGGCAGAAGAGGAGCCCCTGCCACTGAGGGGGCTCCTACGACATCCGGAGAAGATGTAGACCTGCTCTCCGTAGCGGAAATGGTAGCCCTGGTCGAACAGAGAGCTGCCTTGGCCCTACAGAGTTACCCACGCCCCACCACCCCAGCTCCAGTGGTCTTCGTGTCAGCTGAGCAGGGGGGACCAGCCAAGGGGTTAGGGTCAGAAAGACGATCTGGTGGTGGTGACTGTAGCCGAGTTGCTGAGGCAGTGGCCCACTTTGAGGCCCAGCGGGACAGCCCTCCAACCAAGGGTCTCCGCAAGGAGGAGCGGCCAGGTCCTGGGCCTGGTGAAGTGCGGATCGCTTTTCGCATCTCCAATGGCCGAGAGCCCCGTTCGCCAGATGGCAATTTACCTACTTGGAGTGGAGGCCAGTCTGGTAGTCCCTACCCTGGTAGTCCTGGTCCTGGGGCTCGAGCCAAAGACAAAATCACCTGTGACTTGTACCAGCTTATCAGCCCCTCCAGGGATGCCCTTCCCAGCAACATGGAGTTCCTCCTGGCCAGGGCAGACGAAGCCAGTGAAGGTGAGACACCAACCCCGGCCAGGCCTGAAGATACCCCCCCAGCCCCTCCTCCACCCCCTGCCAGGGACTGTGGAGCATCAGGGTTCCATGTGGATGTGGTGGTGACAGGTGTGGTGGATGAGTGCATCTTCTTTGGCAAAGATGGCACCAAAAACGTAAAGGAAGAGACTGTCTGCCTGACAGTGAGCCCTGAGGAGCCACCCCCACCTGGCCAGCTCTTTTTCCTCCAGTCCCGGGGTCCAGAAGGTCCGCCTGAGCCACCCCCAGCTGATACACCAAGCACAGTGCCAGGTCCCGACGATTCGGAAGGCACAACGGACACCTCCTTGTGCCGCCTGTACCGGCACGTGTCGCATGACTTCCTGGAGATTCGCTTCAAGATCCAGCGACTTCTGGAGCCACGGCAGTACATGCTGCTGCTGCCTGAGCATGTGCTGGTCAAGATCTTCAGCTTCCTGCCCACCCGAGCCCTGGCAGCCCTTAAGTGTACCTGCCACCACTTCAAGGGCATCATCGAGGCTTTTGGTGTGCGTGCCACGGACTCGCGCTGGAACCGGGACCCACTCTATCGCGATGACCCTTGTAAGCAGTGCCGCAAGAGATATGAGAAGGGCGACGTGTCACTCTGCCGCTGGCACCCCAAGCCCTACCACCATGACCTGCCTTATGGACGTTCCTACTGGATGTGCTGCCGCAGAGCCGATCGCGAGACACCAGGCTGTCGCTTGGGCCTGCACGACAACAACTGGGTGCTGCCATGCAATGGAGTGGGAGGGGGCCGAGCTGGCCGGGAAGAGGGAAGGTGAAGCCTGGGGATGAGGGGACACCTGCTATACCTAACCCCTTCCCGCTTTGCTGGGAGCTGGGGACCAGGACTGAGTCACCAGCCAACACCTACCAGTCCATCCAGCGTTGATCTCCCACTAGAACTGGGACCAGGTTTGGGGGTCAGTGGGTAAATACCCTGGTTGACCCCCGTTAGTTTTCTACTCTTCAGAGCCAGGGCCATGGACCCTCAGAGAGGGTTGTGTTTTTTGTTTTTTATCAGCATCTCAATTGCGACTCGATCAAGCCCCAACCCCATCCCTGAGTCTCTCCACCCCAGGGACCCACCAGCAGGGAGCAGATGGCAGCTAATTTTGGTACCACCTGAGGCATTTCTCAAGCTGGCCCTCCCCATTCTGTGCCTCCCCAAGTTCTTTGTTCACCCAAAGGGCTGCAGTCTCTAAGGTTGACACCTCCAGGCCATTAGCTCGCAACTCAAGTCAGCACTTTTTGGAGGCAGGCAGCCCACCATTTCTAGATGTTTTCCTCATTAAATAAAAAAAAAATGATTTCTTCTGAACTACCAGTCTTTCCCTCCCCCACCCCAGGGAAAGTGGGTGAGATCCCCTCAAGTATAGAGATCCCTCTTTAAGCTCTTGTCACTGACTCCCCAGTAAAGCTGTGAAACCCCTTGCCTCAGAGGGCAAGGACAGTGGGTCTGAATTCCAGGTGATCTTTCTTCCACATGGGTACTCAGTGAGGCATTCGGGTCTCTACACCGTCCTCCCCACACCTTTTGCTTAGGTAGGCCTTGATTTTTAGGCAGTTTGGTCCAAGATCTTTTTTTAATTTATTTTTCTATTGGCTTTTCGAGACAGGGTTTACTGTGTAGTCCTGGCTATGCTGGAACGAACTCTGTAGACCAGGCTGGCCTCAGACTCAGAGATCTGCCTGCCTCTGCCTTTGAGTGCTGGGATTAAAGGCCTGGGCCACTACCACCTGGCAATTCAAGATCTTTTTGTTTGAGGTTTTTCCTCTTTTGGGGGGTTTTATTTTGTTTGTTTTCTCTTTCATTGTGGTTCTGGAAGCTTCTAGTGTGTGGCATCTGACCAATTTTGAATTGGTCCTTTCTATAAAATCAATATTTATAAAGCAGGGCCAGACTGGTCTGTGTGATGTTAAGGGAGGGGATTTGGTAACAGAGATATCCATAGGTCTGCGCTTGGCAGGGTGGGATGGAAAGGAGTAGGAGTCCCCACCTCAGTCCCTCTGTCTGGAAGTATTTAAGACTCCTATCATCTCTCACTTAGTATTTTTTAAACATCTCGAAATAGTAGTGGTTTAAACAAGATCATTTTTACTTCTCTCAAGAGTCCAGTGTTGGGTAAGTACGTGACCCTCATCATTCCATGGTGCTTCAGCAGTGACCCTCATCGCTGTGGTCTATGACTGCAGGAATTCCTGCTGTCCCTATTGTGCAGGAAGGGAAGTCCCCTTCATGGTAGAGGTGCTACACGAGCTGTGAATACTTCTCATTCATCAGAACTCCACAGCTCCTCATCTTTATATACAGATATACCAGGGATGCAATTCAAGTTAAAAACAAGGTTTTTCCATTTTCAATATTTTTTTGCATGTGTGTGAGATGTGTGGGTAGTTCTTTTGGAACATTTGTTTAATGATGCAAAGATATGTTGCATTCTTTTATGTTGTATTTGTTTAACTCTGAAGCTGTATTACTATGCCTGTATAAAACAGCTGATTGGTCTAATAAAGAGCTGAATGGCCAATAGCAAGGCAAGAGAGGGATAGGTGGGACTTCCAGGCAGAGAGAATAAATAGGAGGAAAAGAAAGAGAAAGGGCAAGGAGCCAGAAAAAAAGAGCAGTATGCCAGGGGCCAGCCACACAAACAATCACGAAGTAAAAAGGAAAGAAAGGTATATAGAATACAGAAAGATAAAAGCCCAGAGGCAGAATGTAAAAGAAGAGAAGTGGGTTAATTTAAGAAAAGCTGGCTAGAAATAAGCCAAGCTAATGCCGGGCATTCCTAAGTCTCTTGTATTTATTTAGGAGCTGGTTGGCAGGTCCCCAAAGAGTTCTTTATTAGACCAATCAGGTGTTATAGGCAGGCAGAGTAACACAGCTTCACAGAGTCAAACAAATGCAACATAAAGGAATGTAACAAACAAATATTCCACAGCATAAACAAGTGTAACACATCTTAAACTAATTTTCCACAACAGGAGAGGTATACACATGGTACAGCACACATGTGCAGGTCTTCCACTGTAGGTTCCAGGGATCAAGCTGAGGTCATCAGTCATACACCAAGTACTTCTACCCACTGAAGCCTTTTCACAGGCCCATAAAATTCATTTCACGTCACCTCATGTACATAGTCTGGTGCTGTGTGTGTGTGATGCTGAGGATGGAGCCCAGAACCACACATGCTAGGAAAGTGCTCAACCACTGAACCACACCCCCATCCCCTCACTGGGGGACTCTAGGCAGGGGCTCTACCACTGAGCCACACCCCCATCCCCTCACTGGGGGATTCTAGGCAGGGATTCTACCACTGAGCCACACCCCAGCCCCTCACTGGGGGATTCTGGGAGATGCTGTAGGCGCTAAGCTATATTTTCAACCCATTTTGAGATAGGGTCTCACTAAATTGCCAATCCGACGTAAGTGGACTGTGTCATCACACTTGGCTCTAATGTCCTGAGTTATGGTTCAGGCTCCCATGAAGTCTGCAGTTCACCAGGAAAACCATTGGCACCCTCATTAACACTCCATCTTACTGAGATAAAAGGGTGGCTTCGCAAGTTCTAGGTGACTGAGCTGCCCTTCAGCCTGGTTCCCAGCACCTACAGTTTTCCTCAGGCACATTTGCTAAGCAACTAACTCTGCATTCACCAAACTGGCCTAATGATAAGGTGCTCTAAATACAGTTGATGAGATTCCCACAAACGTTTATTACATTTCTGTATTTTGGGTTTTTCTGTAGATAGGGCTGGCTTGAACTCAGAGGTCCAGCTGTCCCTGCCTCCTGAGTGGTGGGATTAAAGGTGAGTGAACTCCCAGACACACACTCTGGTTATTCCGATTGGTGCTGGTTCATCGGGTTTGGGGGGGTCTTGGAAGCCTGTTTATTTACATGGACTTGGTAAACCACTCTTGACTGGCTAGAGCGAGGAAGAAACAAACCTGTTATACTAGCACTCAGGACTGCACAGTTCCAGGGAAGTCAGAGCTATACAGTTAGATCTTTTCTTAAAAATAGTGCTGGATATGGTGACTTGTACTTTTAATCCCAGTGGAGGTGGAGGCAGGCAGATCTATGGCAAGCTTATTCTACAAAAGGAAATGGTGCTCTGGGGTTGACTGGATTTAGGGGGTGTAGTCTGTTCAATCCATTCCCAGTCTCAAACCCAGTCTTCCCAAAATATCATCTGAGGCAACTTCATTTGAAATACCTCCTCATAAAGGGGTTCCAATGTGAGATACTTCGAGAACCACTTCATTCTAAGCCAGGAAGATCTCACCTTCTGAGTGAGGAAACTCATTGAATGTCATTTCCCAGTGGAAACTGTGGCCTTTCTTCCCCCTTAATCCCTGGGTCAAGCAGAACGTGGAGCTCTAAGCTCAGTCCCATGAGTCTTCATTGCTGTCCTCAGGCCCATGCCCATGTGAGAGTCAGAACAGAACTGGGTCCATGCAGTAGCAAGGCTGCCATTCTGACTAATGAACTGACATAAAACATTAGCCACACAGGATTCATTTGGTTGGTGGTGCTGGTCCAGGTGCCAGCCCATGACACATTTGGTCCCTGGGAACTTTCAGACAAGTCCATTTACTTCAGGTCAGAAGCCAAAACTGTTCCTTTGACAGTCTCATACCCTCAGTGTTCCTAGCATGTCCTTGAAATGCAGTAACTTGAGATGGTTGTAGCAGACACCTGAGGTGAGCCTGGCTACCCTGCACTACTCAAGGTGCCCCTGTCATGTCCCCAGCTCGGTATAAGATCCTTCCAAGGTATCAGTCTGCAGGCTAGAGTCCCAGGTACTCAGCCAGGAACACGGCGAGGATGCGGCTCAGGTTGTGCACAGTGGGCGGGTGAAGGTTGGCCTCGGTGTCAGCAGGTGTGTGCCACACAGCAGGGAAGGGCGTGGCGATGAGGTGGAGCACGGGGACCCCTGGAGGGGACAGGAGATTTAGCCACCAACTGCAACCCACAGACAGCTGCTACAGAGCATCCCCCTCAACCCACAGACACGGAAGATGGGGCTAGCCCTTTAAAACCTTTCAACCAGCCAGGTGGTGGTGGTGCACGCCTTTATCCCAGCGCTCGGAAGGCAGAAACAGGCGGATCTCTGTGAGTTCATGACCAGCCTGGTCTACAAGAGCTAGTTCCAGGACAGCCTCCAAAGCTACAGCAAAACCCTCTCTCGAAAAACCAAATAAATAAAATAAACCTCTCAACCTGCTGGGCAGTATGCCTTTAATACCAGCACTTGGGAGGCAGAGGCAGGCCTCGTCTACAAGAGCTAGTTCCAGGACAGACTCCAAAGCTATGAGAAATCTTGTCTTGAGAAACAAAAAACAAACAAAAAACTTCTCAACCCTCGACCTTGGGCATGCTAAGCAAGTGCTCCACCCCTGAGTTATCCTCAAGTCCCAAAGAATGATTTGAAATGTGAGAGAGGATACATACTGTTTAATAATTAGAGCCAGACGTGGTGGTGCACATCATTAATCTCAGCACTTGGGAAGCAGAAGCTGGTGGGTCTCTGTGAATTCAAGGTCAGCCTGGTCTACAAAGTGAGTTCCAGGACAGTCAGCTTCCTAGTGAGACCCTGTCTTTATTTATTTTTTGTTTGGTTATTTTGGGGTTTTTTTTTTGTTGTTGCTGTTGCTTTAATTATTTATTTGTATTTTATGTTCATTGGTGATTTGCCTGCATGCATGTCTAAGTGAAGGTGTTGGAATCCCTAAGCAGGAGTTACAGACAGTTGTGAGCTATGGACAGGGTGCTGGGAATTGAACCCAGGACCTCTGGAAGGGCAGCCAGTGCTCTCAACCACTGAGCCATCTCTCTAACCCTTTTTTGTTTCTTGAAATGGGGTTTCTCTATGTATATCTGGCTATCCTGGAGCTAGTTCTGTAGAACCAGGCTGGCCTCAAACTCACAGAGATTCACCTGCCTCTGCCTCCTGAGCACAGGATTAAAGGCGTGTGCCACCATCCAGCAAACCTCTCCTATATTTCATTGGGATCCTGCTCTTTGGATATTTCCCTGTGTAAGCACAGGAACAGGTGATCTGGGGCCCATTGGACACCCAGTTCCTCTCTCCCCACACCTACCTGTAGAAGCACTCACTGAAGGAATCAGTGAAGAAATGGAATAATGCAAGAGGCAGCACGGTGGCTTGCTGTGCACTGGGCTCAGCTCTGAGTCAAACCTTGATGTGTATTTGCATATTCTTGCCCCCCATTCTCTCCACTTTACAGATGAAGAAATCAAGGCTGACCACTTGCCAGCAGGCCCTAGCCCTGGGGAGGAGGCTTCCTTGTAGCCCTGACCCCAGCAAGTACCTCTGCGGAGGAAGGGGATGTGGTCATCTTCCACAGGGCCAGGGGGCTCTCCCGGTTGGAAGTACATCACTTCCTGTGGATGAGACTGCAGCAGGTTCAGACGGTGAAGGCGCTTCTCTGGAGAGGCAGGATTAGAGAGCAAGAGTAGTCAGCAGTCAGAGATATCCCCCCAAAACCAGTGTATATATGTGTGCACCACGTGCATGCAGTGCCTCTGGAGGCCAAAGAGGTCATCAGATCCTCTAGAACTGGAGTTACACTTGGGAGCTCCCATGTGGGTGCTGGGACCCAGGTCCTCTGGATAGGCACATGCTGCTAACTGGTGAGCCATCTCTCCAGCACCATGTTTCTTTTCATGGCAATTTCCTTCTCCTAGTCTCATTTATTCCTTCTGCCTCGGAAGTAGATGCCTCTATTTCTTCATTTCTTCTTTGTCTATGTGTGAATGGGAGGGTGTGCATGTAGAGGTCAGAGGACAACTCTGTGGAGTCAGTTTTCTTCCTCCACCTTTACAGGGGTTCTGGGAATTGATTCTGGCTGCCAGCTTTTGAGGCAAGCACCTTTACCCATTGTTGCTGACCCCAATGTCCCTAGTTTTTTAATTATTTATTCATTTTGACATTTTTGTAGAGAGAGGCTTTCACGTACCTGTGTGCTGGCCTCAAACTCTGTGTGCAGCTGAGGATGACCCTTTATCCTCCGGCCCTACAGCTACCTCCCAAGTGCTGCATGCACCACCAATATAGGCTGATACAGACTTGCCTAGAATTCACAATCCTCTTGCTCCAGCCTTCCAAGTGCTGGGATACAGGTGGACACCACCAGGCAGCTTCTTCTAACATGGAACTCACTGTGTAGCCCAGGATAGCCTTCAACTTGCAGTCTCCTTGCAAGTGTTGAGATATCAGGCATGCACCACCATGAGGGCCAGTTCACAACTATGCTCGTCAGCACTATCACCATACTTATTTTATATCTAAGAAATAGAGGTTTGCCGGGCAGTGGTGCGCATGCCTTTAATCCTAGCACTCGGACGGCAGAGGCAGGAGGATCGAGAGATGAAGTGTCTTGCCCAGGCAGACCCAGGGTTTGAAACCAGGCTAGTCTCACAGTCACTACACTCAACTTTCACAGATAAGTTTGTTTTTGCCCTCATTTCTCAGCCCAGGGCTAGGGAGGGAAGACTGAATGAGTACACAGAGGTCAGGTGCTCGGCCTACCCCGGCCTTGGCCTACCCTCCTTACCAATGCTCCTTAGTCGTTGGAACCAGCGGGCTGTGCGGGGGAAGTGGCTGAAGAAGATTGGACTGGGCGCTCCCAGAAGATCAAGAAGGACAAAGAGTTCCTGGGGGAAGGAGTCCAGGACTGGAGGCTGCTTAATCTGTCCGATGCTACTGACCCTACCCTCCTTCCCCACTCCCTGCCTCCTCCTCCAGAGCCCAGAGGGATGGATCTTACAATAGCCTGGATCCTAGTGGGGCCAGGGCTGTGTGGTATAGACTCCATGATCTGAGCTAAGTGCCGGGAACCATAAAGGGAGTCCCGTGGTCCCCACTCCTTCAGTGCCTCCTCCCCATCCAAGAAGAGCAGCTGTAGGGTCACCGGTGCTGCCTGTGGAAACAAGCAACCAAATCACTGCCAACCCTTGGCATTGGTCCACCCACATGACCTGCCTATTTGCACAGCTGGGATGGGACAAATCAAGTGTTCTCGTTTATGCAATGTGGTGACAAAAGTCACAAGTTGAGTCAGGAGGGTTCAAATCCATGCTTTTAAGTGGCTGTTAGATATGGTAGCTTTGTTTTGTTTTGAGATAGTCCAATATAGCCCAAGCTGGCCTAAAACGTCCATCCCTCTTGATTCCCTATCTAGGATTACAGGTGTGCAGCATAATGGCTGTTTTTTGTTTTGTTTTTGTGCTGCTAGGGAATGGCTCTAGGGATGCCCATTTGCTGGAGATGCACTGTACCACTAAGCTACACCCCCAGCCCTCTCATTACTTTTTGAGATAGAGTTTCACCAAATTTCCTAGACTACCCTTGCGAGCACTCTGTAGCCCTAGCTGGCCTTGAACTTCTGCTCCTCGGGCCTCCATGTCTGGAAGAGCTGGGATTACAGGACTGTGCCACTGGGGTTAGCTCAAGTTCTTCATCTATGAATGGTGGTAATAGTTCTATTCACAGGATCACATTTGAATCCAGGTCTGTAAGAACCGAATGAATCAGCTCTTGTTGTTATTACGTAAGCCCAGTTGGGCTAGACAGACAGACCCACCCACAAGGGAATAACTGTACAAAGAAGCAAGATTGGGACTGGGACAAATGCTTCCAAGATCTAGTTTCTGAGGGCCTAGGAGGCTGGCTGCAGGGTGATCTAGTTTAGAGGGGCCACTGGGTCTATCAGGCAGGGATGCTTGCACTGAGGGTGAGTAGGTGAGAGTTGGCCCGGCAAAGAGGGAACAGTGTTCTCAGGCAAGGGGACAGCCTGGACCAAAGCTGGGGCCAGAGGGGTTTGACAGGAGACCAGAAGAGTTAGCAAGATCCACAGATTTCTGGCTTTGTTATATCACAGGAGTACTGGGGAGCCAGAGAAGGGCTTTGAGGGAGAAATATAATAAAGTTTGTGCTTTCATTCATTCCACAGATTCTACTGATGTCCGACTTTACTCTGACTCAGTGAGACATATCAGGAAGAAGCCAGGTCCATACGGTCACGGAAAGCACTGTGACTATAGAAAATGGGTCGTCAGTGCCATAAGGCATGGGCGGTGACAGGAAGATATTTGGAGGTAGTCTGAAAGGTTTCTTTGTAAAAAACAAAAAAGACTGTTAGAGAGCCCTGGGGAGGGGGTTTATCTAAGAAAAACATGATCTGTGCAGGGCAAACAGCAAATGCTAACGAGGTGAAAATGAAGTCTGTGGATTAGAGGGACACAGAAAGGGTGTGGCTACTGTGGAGTAATGAAGAAACAAAAACTACTAGACCAACAAAGAGAGAGTGCTTAGAGTTAGGGAAGGACGGGGGCGGCAGGAGGGTAGGAGGGGGCGGCGGGGAGGGTATGCCTCCCGTGGACCCCTCAGGACTCTGCTTATCGTTAGAATGGGATGAGGGATTTCTGGACACAGAAGGGCAGGATCTGCCATTTAGGACATAGAAAGATCCCTGTGGCAGGCGGGGGTTGTAGCTCAGTCGACAGAGGACTTACTGAGCATCCATGAATACCTGGGTTCAGCATAAAGAAGACATGGTGGTACATTGTTGCATTGTCTTAGTTAGAGTTTCTATTGCTGTGAAGAGACACCATGTCCACGGCAACTCTTATAAAGGAAAAACATTTCATTTAGGTTGGCTTACAGTTCAGAGGTTAAGTTCATTATTGTCATGGTGAGAAACATGGTGGAGTGCAGAGGGACATGGTACTGGAGAAGGAGCTGAGAGTTCTACATGTTGATCGGCAGGCAGCAGAATTAACTGTCACACTGGGAGGATCCTGAGTATAGCAAACCTCAAAGTCCACCTTCACAGTGACACACTTCCTCCAACAATGTCATACCTACACTCCAAAGTCATACCTAATACTGCCGCTCTTGGGGGACCATTTTCTTTCAAACTACCACATTCCACTCCTTGACCCCCAAAGGCTTGTAGCCATAATCATATTGCAAAAATGCATTCAGGGGCTGGAGAGATGGCTCAGAGGTAAAGAGCATTGCCCGCTCTTCCAAAGGTCCTGAGTTCAATTCCCAGCAACCACATGGTGGCTCACAACCATCTGTAATGAGGTCTGGTTCTCTCCAGGCATACACACAGACAGAATATTGTATACATAATAAGTAAATAAATAAATAAATAAATAAATATTTTTTAAAAATGCATTCAGTCCAATTTCAAAAGTCCATATTATAACAGTCTCAAACATATTTAAAAATCTAAAGCTCAAACTCAAACTCTCTTCTGAGATTCATGCAATCTTTTAACCGTAATCCTTCAAAATCAAAATCAAAAAGCAGATCACATGCTTCCAACGTATAATGGCACAGGATATACATTACCATCCTAAAACATAGGGAAGGGAATATAGGGAAGAAATACTGGACCAAAGCAAGACCAAAATCCTGGGCAAGCTCCAAACTCTGCATCACCATGTCAGATATCAAAGTGCTCTTCAGAGCTCCAGCCCTTTCAGCTTTGTTGACCGTACCACACTTCTTTCTCCCAGGCTGGTTCTACCTTCTGTTAGCAGCTCCCCTTGGCAGGTGTCCCACAGCTCTGGCATCTCTAACATGTTGGGATCTCTAAGGCAATCAGGCTTTAATTTCACAGCTTCACACAATGGCATCTCTAGGCCTCCATGCAGGGATGCCCCTGACACATGCCTGGCCTCAGCAGCTTTCCTTGGTCCCAGAGGAAAGTTCCCTAGCACTTTTCTTCTATTCTTGACTCTAAAGCCAGAACCATGTGGCTGAAGCTGCCAAGTTCTGCTGCTTGCTGGTGCTGGGACATGGCCCCCTTGTTCAGTTACATCTTCACCAGCTTTCTGTTTTCAATGGTTTCCTTCACTGCCTAAGCTTGGCTGTCCTGAAACTCACTCTGTAGACCAGGCTGGCCTCAAACTCAGAGATCTGCCTGCCTCTGTCTCCAGAGTTCTGGGATTAAAGATGTATACCATCATACCTGGACCTAAACTGTTCTTTAATTCCTTCTCACAAGTTGGAAACTTAACTGGGTGGCATTTTCCCCTGAGGTCCCCACTCTTGCTGTGGGATAATGCTTTTGTGCCCGGTAAAGATTTGTCACTTGTATTAGTTTAATAAAACATTTATTGGCCAGTAGTCAGGCAGGCGTATAGGCAGGGCAACCAGACTAGGAGAATTCAGGGATAAGGAAAGGTAGCGACAGTTACCAGCCAGATGCAGAGCAAGCAAGATGAGAATGCCTCACTGAGAAAAGGTACCAAACCATTTCACTCCACTTATTGTATTTCTTAATCTGTTTATCTCCTTGAATACAGGAATTAGTTCCATTCCATTTCCTGGTCCCCCCTTTCTCCTCAATCTGTACATTTTGTATTTTTACTTGCTCAGCTTGCTCCTTTTCATTATAAATCTTCCTGAGAGTCAACAGGAGTAACCACACAACAGAATCTATACTGGGCTGTTTTGAGATTTCCTCTGCCAGTGGAATTAATCTAAAACTCTTCACTTTAGCCTCGGGCAGACTCTTTGGACAAGGGCAAAAAGCAGCCACATTCTTCACCAACATATCACAAGAACAATCTGTAGGCACATATTATATTCTTCTCTTCTGAAGCTCCTGAGCCAAATCACACTCAGCACCACCGTCCTCCATGCGCCTACTAGTCTGGCTAATTAAGCGGTGCATAAAGCATCCACTGCTTTCCTAACCAAAGTCTCCAAAACAGAGTCAGACCTAGCATAGCAATGCTCCAGTCCTGGTGCCCCAGCGTGGTTTGAAAGAAAATGGCCCCATGGGGAGTGGAGGTGTGGCTTTGTTGGGATAGGTATGGCCTTGCTGGAGGAAGTGTGTCACTGTGGGGGTGGGCTTTGAGGTCTCCTGTGCTCCAACTACACTCACTGTAGTACATAGTTCACTTCCTGTTGCCTGCAGATCAAGATGTAGAACTCTCAGCTCCTTCTCCAGTGCCTGTCTACCTACATGCCACCGTGTCACCTGCCATGATGATAAGGGACTAAGTCTCTGAAACTGTAAGCCAGTTTTCTGTAATTACAGAAAATTTAAATGTTTTCCTTTATAAGAGTTGCCGTGGTCATGGTGTCTCTTCACAGCAATAGAAACCCCAACTAGGCCATGCATGTACGACTGTAATGCCAGCACTCAGGAGGTGGAAGCAAGAGGAGCAGAAATTTAAATTCATTATTGAGTTCGATGCTAGTGTGGCCTACGTGAGACCTGGTGGGGGTGGGAATCCTTGTGTCTCAGTTCATATGTTGGAAAACAAAGATATCAGTGGGGGTTGGAGAAAACAAGGGTGACAATGGGGTAAATGGCCACCTGCCACCCCACTGCTTGGAAGGGTGATGCAGAAGAATGGCTGAGTTCAAGGCTAGCTTGGGCTCCGTTCTAATGAAACCCTATCTCAGATAAAATGATAGAAGCAAGGGAGGAGGTGGGCTAGGGACAGACAACCCTCCCCCACTCTCACCTGCTGCTTGACTCTGCTCAGCATCACATCGAAGGCCTGGACTAGCTCCAGAAGCAGGGCACAGGGAACAGCTGAATCTGTGGCCCCCACAAAGGGGGGCGACCCAGGAGGGAAGAACTTAGAGTCATAATGGCAGGCAAGGGTGAGGTGCCGGGCAGCTCCCGGGTCAAGCGTGGCCACCACGTTCCCGAAGTCCAGTGGCCCCAAGGGTGTTGAAGCTGTGAAAGGGTCCAGTTCCACATGCCAGCCTGCTGACAGGGATCGCAACGTGGCCTCTAGGAACTAGTGGCAAGAGAGAGGTAGGAGGGTGGACAGGGACTGGGGAGAAGGTGGGGAGAAGGGTCTTGTGACTGGAGCCACGCAGAGCAGTCTGGGTGGCTAGAAAGTCCCACTTTGGGTTAAGTTTCCCTTAACAAACGCTTCTGCTGAGGAACAGCTGCGTGCCAGATGGGGGGTAACCACACCTTTTTCCCCCTTCTTTTTCTTTGCTTTTTTTTTTCTTTTGGTTTTCTGAGACAGAGTTTCTCTGTGTAGCTGTGTAGCTCTGGAGTTTGTCCTGCAACTCACTTTATACTCCAGGCTGGCCTCAAACTCACAGAGATCTGACTACTTCTGCCTGCCAAGTACTGGAATTGAAGGTGTGCACCACCACCACCCAGCTACTAACAAAATTTATGGCTCACTACGTAGTCCAGGCTACATACTTGCTGTGTAGCTGAGGCTGGTCTAGGACCCCAGATCATGCTTCTGTTTCCTGGAAGGATTATAGACCCAGGCCATCACCACAACCAGCTCAGACAGTGTTCTCTCTCTCTCTCTCCCTCCTTCCCTCCCTCCCTCATTCTCTCTCCTCTCTCTCAACTCTCTCTCTCCCTCCTTCTCTCCTTCCCTCCCTCCCTCATTCTCTCCTCTCTCTCTCTCCCTCCCTCATTCTCTCTCCTCCCTCTCTCTCTCTTCCACCCTCCTTCCCTCCCTCCCTCATTCTCTCTCCTCTCTCTCCCTCCTTCCCTCCCTCCCTTCTCTCTCTCTCTCCTTCCCTCCCTCCCTTCTCTCTCTCCCTCCTTCCCTCCCTCCCTTCTCTCTCTCTCTCTTCCACCCTCCTTCCCTCCCTCCCTCATTCTCTCTCCTCTCTCTCTCCCTCCTTCCCTCCCTCCCTTCTCTCTCTCTCTCTCCTTCCCTCCCTCCCTTCTCTCTCTCTCCCTCCCTTCTCTCTCTCTCTCTCTTCCACCCTCCTTCCCCCCCCTCATTTTCTCTCCTCTCTCTCTCTCTCTCCCTCCTTCTTCTCTCTCTCTCTCTCTCTCTCTCTCCCACCCTCTCCCTCTGGGTCTGTCTGCCTCTCTCCATGGTGCTGAGGTTGGATCGAGGGTTTCCTGCAAGCAGCTTCCACAGCCCTACACTGGTGGACACTACAGCAGTCTTCTATCAATTGAGCCACACCCCCACCTCACAATGGTGAATTCTGAGCAAGTGCTCTCCTGTTGAGACATGCTCTGACTTCCTCTTAAAAGACTCTCACTATGTGCCAAGTCTGTTCTAGGATCCCTATGAAGTCAACAATGTGAGTGAATGTCCCCATTCTGCAGATGAGGAAACTGAGTCCCAGAGAGGTTAAGAAAACTATGCCAACTAAGATGGATCCTAAGTACAATATCTAAAACAATGCTTCATCACCCACTCTGAAGCCAAGCTTGAATTCTAACTTCAATAGAATATCCCCTGGGCCTCAATTTCCCCATTTGTATAGCGGAGATCATATTACTTTCGACCTCACTAGACAATACATTGCTGTACCTAATATAAAGTAAGCGTTTGGTGGGAGGGAGTTGTATAGTTTGGGAACTGCCACCTGGCTGTTCCGGGATCTTAGATGCCTGAGTTCCATTTCCTGGAAGGTTGGGGAAAGGAGTTTAGGGATTGGAAATAAGACCCTTTACCTTTCTCACTTGGAGATTGCCAGGACTACCCGGGGGTCGCACAACCAACAGGGGACGCAGGAAAGTTCCCCAGAGACGCTGCGGATCCAGCTGCCCTACCACCCTCCGCAGCTTGGCTTCTGGAAGGCTTCCAATCAGCGCGGCCTTGGTAGGGAAATGGGATGGGGAAAAGAAAAATGAAGACAACCCCATTCCCACCCTTTCCGGGACGACGTTGCCCCCCTAGGATCCCTGACTCTTCTTGGCGATGCATCAAAGACTTGAAGGATAGATATACCCTAGATTAGGAAAAAGTCTTCAAAGCAAATCTGGTTCATCTTACTGCAGTTCTGATGGGAAAAACGAAAACCGGGTGATGGAGACTCTTCTAAATAGATGGCTTGGGGCGTAGAACTCAGATTTACCAGTGTTGCTATGCTGACCCTTCATATTCAGAAAGTGCTATTACAAAACAAGCCTGAAGCCTTAGTCTGTTGGAAAGGGACATGGGTTCAAATGATGGAAAAAGAGATGGCACCAGAGGCAAGGGCCATACAGCCACGTTAACGTGAAAGTCTATACGAAAGGAAATGGAGGAACGACGGTGTCCGGGCCCCAGCCAGACCTCACCCGCAGATCCCGGTTCCGTGACAGCTCCTGAACCCCAGGGTGCCAGCCGTTCCAGACGATGTAGAAAGCCAAGCCCAGGGCCAGCGCAAACAGCAGCAGAGGCAGGAGCCGCACTCGCGGTATCAGGCGGCGCTTGGAAAGAGAGGGTGACTGCATGAGGCCCCGATCCCCGGGTCGCTGTCGGGGCCGCCCGCGGCTCCCGAGACTCATGGCAGCTTAGCCCTGAAACCAATCCCTGGACTGTAGTTTGAGTTTAGGCCAAGATCCGCCCCTTGTGGATTACAAAAACCAATAAAAAAGGAGAGTGCCTGCGTCGTCCCGCCAGATGATTGCGATTGGTTGGACTAAACGTCGTACAAATCAAAAGGCAGCGCGGAAACCATGGGGCCCGCCCCATGGAAGAGAAACAGCCAATGAGTTGCGTCTGACTGTGCGTGAAGCCACGCCCCTTACGATGTCACTCAAGAAACACATCAAGGAACTGTGGCTCAATCAGGGAGTCGATTGGTTCTCCAGAGACCACGCCCCCAAGGCCAAGAGTCGGCGGGTGTTTGGAAACGGCGCTGAGTGCCCCGTCCTCCTAGACTGTCGGTCAGGGAGCTAACTCGACTCAGGCCCCCCTTTATTTCCCTCTCCTAGTCTTGAGCGCAGACCCCTACTGTGCTCCTCAATGGCCTCGGATCCTCTAGGCATTTTCTAAGGCGGCGCGCAGCAAATTGATCACTATGAAGACAGGGCACGCCCATCTCCGCTGAGGTGGAGTGCGCAGGCGCCGACGGAAGTGAGCCGCAGGAGGCGGAAGTCCCGCCCTCCTCTCGCTCTACTCCGGAGACCTGAGCAACGCGCTGCCGGCGGGAGTGATCTGCAAGCGAAACCTCCACCATGTGAGGCCGGGCTGGGCTTCGGCAGGGTCTGGAAGGTGGAAGGGGACAGTTTAGCAGATTAACGGTTGAAGTGGGGTGCTCTTAGCTGGGGGCAGAGTTCCTCTAACAAAAGTAGTGTCTTTTCTCTTGAGGTGTTTGAGAACAGGCGTGGGGCCTTGGACGCTCATGAGTTCCGGAGGGGGACAGCTTTGTTCCCTAACGGGCGTGGGACCCTCTTAGGTACTGAGTCTTGTGAAAATGACTGTAAGAGGAAAGCTGAGCCTGGTGGTACATGCCTAGAATCCCAGGCTGATTCTGAGGCAGGAGGTTGCGAGATCGTGGCCAGCCTTGGGCTTCATAGCGAGACGTTTCCGAAAGTAGTAGTAATTTTAAATGGGAATGGTCTTATGGATAAAGAGCTTGGCGAGAGTTTAGGGAATTCTGTTAAAAATAGTGAAAGGCTCTCCAAAAAACAATAATAATGGTGAGGGACTTAACCAGGATAAATTAGAGATCAGACAGGTGGCTTTTCGACCTAATCGAAAGAGACCGTCAGAGTAGCAAGCTACTGAGGAATTTTGGTGTGTTTATTCATTGAGCAGATGTTACATAGCCTGTTTATAGGTTAAGACACACGGTGAGTAAAAGACCCTTGCCACCAAGGGAAGAAAAAGAAATCTCAGTAGGTCTGTAAAAGGAATGGGTTAGGAAGACCATAATGAACAGATATGTACAGCGTGTTAGATGATCAAGAGTGTTAATGAAGAAGTTGAGTAACTAGCAAAAAAGGACACCCTGAAAGTGCAGTACTTGGGCTGGAGTTATAGGACAGAGAGTACTTGGCTACTATGGGCACTGGGTTCAGCCCTCAGCGCCACACAAACTGGGCCTAGTGGCACAGGCCTGTAATCCCAGCACTCTTGGGGCAGAGATGGGGAGTCTAAGTCCCAGGCCAGCCAAGCTTACACGGTGGGATGTTGTGGGGATCCCTGGAGAGAGATGATGGAAGTTGAGCCCATGGATAGAAATGGCCAGGTTCTGGATATGTTGTCAGGCAGATAACAAGATGTTGAGAAAAGAATCCAGTGCCGGGCATGACAGTGGACCCCTGTAATCTCAGAGTTTGGGAGGTGGAGTCAGGAGAATTGAGAATTCAAGGTCATCCTTAGCTACATAACAAGTTGAAGGCTAGCCCGAGCTATAATGAGATCCTGTCCCCACAACAGAAATTAGTTTAATAGTAGAGGTTTAGCTTAGAGAGCCCCCTGAATGGCATTGCCATCAGTGAAGATGTGAGGACACAGTAGGTGGAAGAGGTTTGGAGATTGATGAACTGGAGCAGGCCAACTTGGAAAGATCTCTCTCACCTCCAGAGAAAACTGAGCCAGGGAGGGTGTTTGGGGCCAGGTTGAGGGGACACTGGACAGTGGCTTTGATCGCTCAGGCTCCCAATGTCATCCATCTCACTCATGGCCTTTCTATTCAGGAGTCTCCTCAATAAACCCAAGAGTGAGATGACCCCAGAGGAGCTGCAGAAGCGGGAGGAGGAGGAATTCAACACAGGCCCACTCTCGGTGCTCACGCAGTCGGTCAAGAACAACACACAGGTGCTCATTAACTGTCGCAACAACAAGAAGCTCCTGGGGCGGGTGAAGGCCTTTGACAGGTGAGTGCTGGCTGAGGGAGGACGGTCTGAGTGCCTGAAGGAAAGGTGATACCAGCAGCATTGTGGCAGTAAGCTGGACCTGGCGACAAACACTTAGTCTCAGCATGAGTTAGAGGCCAGCCCTGAACAATCAAAAATAAAAAACCAGAAAATAGGTGTGCCCCCCCCCCCTTTTAATTGTTATTTGAGATGGGATTTCTCTGTGTACTCCTGGCTGTCCTGGAACTTACTCTGTAGACCAGGCTGGCCTTGAACTCAGAGATCCACCTCCTGAGTGCCGGGGGTGGGGGGGGGGTGGGGGGGATGGGGGATGAACCACTTCCCAACTTAAATTTGTCTTCTGTGTATATCCCATGTGCTGGATTACAGGCACGGGATACGCCATCCTACCTAGTTCGTTGCTGTGTGTGTGTGTGTGTGTGTGTGTGTATATGTATATCACTACCGTATGTCCACTCATCTAGTCATATGTGTCTATCATTGTACTTTGTTCATATTTGCAAGCATTTCTGGGAGGAGCTGATCCAGTGTAAACACATGGCTACCTGGCTCCATGAGGACAGGATGGCACAGCACTGGAGTCCATGTGTTGGGAGCCTAACCCCCGCGCCCTGGGACCCTCTGGGTGTGGAGGGGACAATTGTTCTCTCCTGCTGCTTCCCTAAGTCCTTAGAGTTGATGGCAGAAGTGCAGCCAATTTGGTTGCTTTTACTCTGCCAGGGTGATGCTTCAGAAATGCTGTATTCATTCATCAGTCTTCTCATCCGCCCTGTGAAATAGATTGTCTCCATTTCAGAGGGGGAAACTGAGGTGGAGAGGGGTCAAGGCCTTTGTTGAAGCCTCAGTTAAGAACTGAGCTGAGCGCTGGCAGTGGTGACATGTGCCTTTAATCCCAGCACTCAGGAGACAGGCAGGTGGATCTCTGTGAATTTGAGGACAGACAAGGCTACAGAGAGAAACCCTGTCTCAAAAAAAGAATGGACAGAGATGGCACCGGCAGCCTGTTCCATCCTCACCCTGGAGCCTAGATGCCTGCTGCTGGCAGGCTCACCCAGGCAGAGGTGGACACTAAGAATGCCCCCTCTCACTCCAGCCTCTTTCCCGCCCCTACCCCACCAGGCACTGCAACATGGTGCTGGAGAATGTGAAGGAGATGTGGACTGAGGTCCCCAAGAGCGGCAAGGGCAAGAAGAAGTCCAAGCCTGTCAACAAGGACCGCTACATCTCCAAGATGTTCCTGCGCGGGGACTCAGTCATTGTGGTGCTACGGAACCCGCTCATCGCTGGCAAGTAGAGTAGAGGCCTCTTTCTTCCATCAGAGCCTGCTCCCTGCCCTGCCGAGCCCTGCCCAATGGGATGGAAATAAAACCCTGTGTTTTTTGTTGTTTTGTTTTCAATGGTCTTGTCTGCCTTTGGGTTTTGTGAACTGGGTAGACTCTGGGATGGAGAGTCAGGTTGTCATGGTCTGGGCACTAGGACAGAACCCATGAGTAGGTGAGACACATTTCTACCCCATCTGTGAAGGAGATAGTTTAGGCAGAAATGACCGTAATTTATCTTTTGTGTATTGTGGGCAGAGGGATTCTCTAGTAAATTTGGAAGGATTGCAGTGGGAAAGGGTGGCCCTTTATTTTAAGAGGATTATGGAAGAACCCTGACTTGTTCTAGGCTGTACACGGGGCCCTCTGTTCTGTCTCTGTCTCTGTCCCCACTCCCTCCAGGTAATTCCAAAACAAGGTAGATGCAGGAGATCATAGGCCTGAGTTCGGGATAGCTTTCCCTCTTTAAAATACATGTGAAACATGTACAGGTATGTTGCTTGCATATATGTCTGTGCCTGGTGCCCTCAGGCCAGAAAAGAAAGGTTGGATCCCAGAAAGTAGAGTTACAGGTGGTGGTGAGCAGCCACGTTGGTGCTGGGAACCAAACCTGGGTCCTCTGCAGGAGCAGCCAGTGCTTTAGACTGCTTACCATTTCCAGCTACCTACCTGCCCTTGTGTGAGCCCTGTGTGGGACTGGGAAGCCTGTAGCAGGGAAGGCTTGTGGTGCTTGGTCCATAAAGATCTGTGTTCCTTGAATGGCTGCCAGAAAGAACAGTGTTGGTGCGAACTCCAGAGCCATCTCTCTCTTGTTCTCTTGTGGTGCTGGGGGCTGAACCCAGGGTCTCATGTGCTCAGCAGGCTCTCCATGTGTATGTACAGGAGGACGATAGGTGGCCTCTGGCACTGCTCTGAAACAGAGCCTCTCATTGAGCAGAATTAGGCTGGCAGCCAGCAAGCTCCAGCATCCCATCTGCACCCCATGCTGTGGGTGTGTGCATCAGTTTTGAACTCGGGTCCTCATTTTATACAAGTGCTCTTAACCACAGAGCCATCTCCCCAGTTCTTCCATTCACTTTTTGTTTTCAGACAGAAACCTCAGGTTTCCCATGCTGGTCTTTCTTTTTCTTTTTTTTTTTTTTTAATGTATTTATTATGTATACAGGGTCTGCATGTATACCTGCAGGCCAGAAGAGGGCACCAGATCTCATTATATTGGTGGTAGTGAGCTACCATGTGGTTGCTGGGAACCGACTCCAGGACTTCTGGAAGACCAGTCAGTGCTCATAACCGCTGAGCCATCTCTCCAGCCCCACCAGGCTGGCCTTAAAGTTGCAATCTTCCTGCCATAGTCTTCCAAGCAGCCAGGATAACAGGCCTGTGTCACCAGGC